TAGATAGATAGATAGATAGATAGATAGATAGATAGATAGATAGATAGATAGATAGATGGATAGATTTTAAATAATATATGTAAAAAGTATATTTGCTTTATTTCAAAATAAATTTATGTAAATATATTTTTTGCCAATATTTTTGTATAGTTTTGAAAAGATATTTAAAAAACATTTATATTTTAAATGCACTTATTTTTTTCATATATAAAATATATTTTCCATACATTTCACAGTCTAAGAAAATACATTCACAAATGTCACAAGCAAAAAAAAACAATTGTATTTGTTGTCTATAACAAATGTGAACATCTTTGAATAAAATCTACAACATACTTTAAAATGTTTTTTAAAAAAAAAACAATATTACAGTGTATGTGTGTGTTACAATGTATTACATATATGGAGATGTATTTTCTTGCCCCTGAAATACATTTTGTTGCAACTAAATATATTTTCGATTTCATAAATATATTTCATTGAGCTTCACCGTTTACAAAATATATTTAAAAATAGTTGGGGGAAAAAACACAATGTCTGGATTTTGGTTAAAATGACTAGTCATGCTTCTGTGCCATAAAACACACTGCTTTAAATATGGTTACGGTCAGCGTATGAAATCATCCTTCAAACCTGGCTTCATAGCTGGCGTATAAAAGTCAGGTGGCTATTGTCAAGAGCTTTCAGCACCAACCATAGCAATTCAGCTTCAATTTTCTCCCTATCATTTACTATTTCTTAAAAAAAATTTAATTTCGCAACGACGACAGAACATAATTTTCTGGTATTTTTATCTCCTAAATGCACAGGGAGCTTGAGCACAGTGAAGATGAGAGAAAATATTTAAGGCCTCCAAAACAAGGTACTTAAATGGTATTTTTTAAGGAATTAGAACTCTTTTTAGTGTGTGCATGTTTACAGAGAAAATGTATGCTCTCATATTCATTTAGTGTATGATGTGTCATGTTTCTACTCAAATTTGAGTCAATAGTTTTCATACAGCTGGAAAAGAAATTAAATGTCTAGCAGGTAAGAACATTTGATCTTTTTTGATGAGAAATGTTCGAGTTGATGAGTTCTCTGACCTTTGAGTGCAGACTTTGGCATCTTTATAGTTTTATTTTGGTATTTTTTTTATAGTATTATTATTAATTCATATTTTTAAATAGCTTGTTTTTTTATTTTAGTTTTCATTTTAATTTTAAAATAACGTTGTAGCGTGCCTTTGTCTTTTTAAAAATGTTTTCTTTTTAGCTTTATTTTTATTTCAGATTTAGTACTTCACCATAATCTTAAACTTTTATTTTTAAACAAACTTTTAGTATTTTTTTGTTTATATATATATATCCAAGGTAACAGTTTTCATTTGAGTATCTCATCTAATATTTTTATTTTACTTCATTTTAATTACGGAAAACTTTTTTTTTTTTTGGGGGGGAAACAGTAACAACACCGTTTCTGGATCACTGGGATCTTTTTCTCAGGAGAAACATCTAATGATCTCAATGTAATCTCTCTGCAGATATAAAACTGTATTAAAGAGATCTCTTTTCTTTCCTATGTGTATGTTGAGACCACCGCACTTGTACAGAGGAGGCGATCAATCATGCTGTCGTTCTTAGACAAACTCGTGGCCTGGGTGCTGACAGGCTTCTTGGCGATTCTCACCATCTTCTTCAACATGTACCTGCTTCTGATCAACCAGAGGAACTACAGGAAGAGCGCAAAGCACCGACTGAACCCGGCCGACTTCATCATCACGGCCATCTCCCTGGCCAGCATCTCCCTGCAGGTCCTCACGTACTTATGGCAGACGCTGGATGTGATCGACACCGTGTGCCGCATCAGCTTGGCGGGGGCCATCCTGCTGGTGCTCATCTTCAGCGTCAAGTTCATCATCTTCTGGAGCACGGCGTTCCTGACCTTCTACTACGGCACTAAACTGGTGGTGGAGCCCGTCCACTGCTACACGCGCATCCAGGAGGCCATCGTCAAACACGTCCACACGGCCCTGGCGGTGATCGTCGTGAGCGGCTTTGCCAATTGCGTTCCACTGCTGAGCGTGTTGACCTACTACAACGGCACCACCAGCGGGCTGAGTGACTGCGGGTCCATCATGCCCACCGACATGACCGGACTCGCCTACGTCTTCTACTACGTGATCATCTCCGACATCGTTCCAGGAATCATAATGGTCAAATGCAGCATTTCCATCTCGTACCACCTGGCCAAACATCTGCTGGACATGAAGGCCAGCTCCAACGGTGCCCACGGGCCCAAGCTCGGCACGCAGATGCGGGTCATCAAGATGACTCTCAGTTTGGTGGTGGTGTTTGTGATCTTCGTGATCGTGGACATCTTCACGCAGATGACGGTGGTGCTGATGAGGCAGAACACACTGGCCCTGACCATTCTCTTCGCCAGCATCTACACCACAGTCAGCTCGCTCGTGCTGGTCTACGGGAAGAAAAGCTACTGGAAGGAACTGATCGCATCCTATAACCTGTTTTTAGACGAGTACCCTTGTTTGAGCAGCATGAAGGTGGAAGAAGTCAAAACAGAACCACATGAGCACAGCCATGGGCACTGAGCTTGATAGAAATGATATAGTTGTAGAGCTTCTTGCTATTTGTCCTGAGAGAGACCTGGTGAGAACTCTTCGAAATCTGCAGGGCATCGGACATTCGGATCTTAAAATGGTCTGCAGAAAAAGTGATTCTAAATATACAGTAGACACCACAGCTGAAAATGTCTGAATGTCATTGCAATAAACAATTAAATATTAAAGCAAGTGGCAACTATTTTTCTTTCAAATAAAGGTCAGTTGCTTTGGTATTTTTTCATCTAATGCATTGACATTCAGAAATAAAACTATCCTACACTCTTAAAAGTAAAGGTTCCAACTGGGGGTTTTCACAGCGATGCCATAGAAGAACCCGTTTTTGGTTCCCCAAAGAGCCTTTCACTGAACAGTTCTTAAAAGATCCATTTTTTCTCCATGTGAAGAACATTTTAATAATCTAAAGAACCTTTTGTGGAATGAAAAGGTTCCATGGATGGTAAAGATTCTTTGTGGAACCATTGATGCCAATAAAGAACCTTTATTTTTAAGTGTAATCTTGTAATCAGTCATTAAGTATTTAGAAATACCTACATTTATTTAATCAAAGATACAGAGTTTAGTTTCATAGAAATGATATAATTGTAGCTTTTTGCTATTTTTCCCCGAGAGACCCAATGAGAAGTCTTTAAAAACTTAAGAAAAATTAAAACAACAACAAAAAAAACTTGCAAAAAAGAGATTTGAAATGTACAGCAGACACAACACAACTGAAAGTGTTTGAATGTCATTGCACTGAATGAATATATATATATATTCCCACTATGAATG